GTGCAGCCTTCATTCGGGACTCTTGTCATGACCATAATACCCAATCATATATCTCTTTTAAACAGTTCTTCCCCTCATCTGTTTCAATGCAGATTTTATTCAGATTTTCAATGCACTATTTATCCAGTCTTTCTCAGTGAAAGAATCTTTTTCAAGAGAAAAGAGAACTGGGAAGGTAGAGAGGAAAGTGTGTAACAGTGAATGAATGTAAATCTAAGTTTTCTATAAACTTTTGTTAAAGTATTAATAAAAAACCCCAAACTCTGGGGCATTTCTCCTGTGCACACATGGGGTTGTCAAAGGCTGTAATTGATGGATTGCTGAGGTGGTTATGACCACTGACGGTCCCCCCACACGGTATCAGAGGGCCTGCTTCCTCATAGCTTTACCCACCTTGTCCTATCTGATGGTGCCAGATGGCATCCCAGTTAAGTTTGCATTTCACTTGGGAGCCCACATACCTTCCCCATCCCAACCCAGAGCCCTCTTCTTAGGGACCTGCTGCAGCTGGGAGGGGAGCTGGCCCGGACATCACGGGCCATCCAGGAGGCAGACCTAGGGCTGACCACAGGCCTGCAGCTGGCTGAGAGTCGGGCCCAAGCAGCTGTGGAGAAGCAGGTCTTGCTGCAGACCCAGCTGGAGGAGCAGGTGAAGGATAGAATGATCCGCGAAAAGGACTTGGCCCAGTTGCAGCTGCAAAGCGACCTGGACAAGGCCAACCTCAGTGCCAGGTGAGTGCCAGGTGGTCACCATGCAAGGCAGGCCTCCCTACAGAGGATGCCCCTGGAGATGCTGGGAGGACAGAGTGTCTGTTTATTTGGACCCTTATACCACTTGAGCTCAGCAAGTCTTCCCAGGTAGCCTATTGAACAGAGGTGGAGACTGAGGCTCAGGAGGACTTGCCTCTGAAGTTCAGAGGGCACATCACCAGCGGTTCAGCCTCCAATGCTGGAACTTGGACTCCTAGCTCTCTGCGTGGACAAGTCATGATTTACCCATTTCCTGTGAGCTAAAGTGGAGGGCAAGGTCATTCTCATTTCCTAGATAAGAAGTCTGAGGCCCAGAGAGAAGTGACTTGCCCAGGAACATGCAGCTGGAGAGGGGAGTCGAGTTCCTGCCTTGGTCTTGGGAAAGCGTGAAGGGTACAGGAGCTAGTAGGCTTGGAGGAGAAGCTGAGGTGGGGCCCCCATTTACCCGTGCTGTTCCCCCAGAGTGACAGAGCTGGCCCTGGCAGTGGAGCACCTTCAGAACCAGAGTCTGGACAAGGATCGGACCAACAAGGCCCTCACCGAGAAGCTCGAGGCCTTGGTGAGATGTTGGTCACGGAGTGACAGGGCGGGAGGTGGGGGACGGTAACTGACCAGAGCCGGGGACCCAGGAATCCCACTCAGACTCAGAGCTACTCCTCATTAATAGAGCTCTGAGTGTATACCAAGTTTGGCAGTAAGCACATTTACCTCCTTTACCCTATCTCATCCTCCCACCTACACCCTATACCGTGATCCCCATTACATAGATGAGGAAATAGAGCCACAAAAGAGAAATAGGCCTATAGTTTTTGAGCCAACAGATAGGGAAGCCAGGACTTGAATTCACTCCAGCTCCTTCCTAGCCCAGGTTATTCCTCTTGGAACACTTCCTGTAATAGGCTTGTTCCTCAAAGCTACCACTTGGGATGGTCACCCAGCTGTGTGGACTGGCCCTGCTATTTGTAGAAGCAGAACACCGCATACTCCTGTCTTGTCTGTTCAGTGAGGGCAGTGGGACTGACTGCCGACGGGTCTACCAGGCAGGGCCCTGGGGGCCATCCTTGTAGGTGATGGGCCAGGGAGGGAGAGGAAGAGCGAGAGTTTCAGACTGAGGCAGAGACCCTGACCACCCTTTTTTTTTTTTTTTTCTCCCCAGGAAACCCTGCGGCTACAGGAGCAAGCGGCTCTGGAAACGGAGGAAGGAGATGGACTACAGCAGACCCTGAGAGACCTGGCCCAGGTGGGAGACTAGGGGAAAGCAGCCAGAAGGGATGGGAGTCTTGGGCTGCCCTGCCCTCTGGTGGCCATGGGCTGAATTACATGTAGTTGCAGACTGGGAACCGAGGAAGAAAAAGGGATGTCTGACGAGCCTGTTAGGAGTGCAGGACCTTTCTGTGCTCCGTGATGATGCTTGATGCATGATGCTTGTAAGCACTGTTTGGGCATAGTGAATGAAAAACCCTGCTTCGGCTGGAAGGTTGTACCTAGTAGAAAAGGTGTAATCAGGAAGACTTCTGGTACGAATAGAACCTTGGAGCATGCTGCAGAGCCTAGGCTGACCCTGGCAACCCACTGTCCATCTCCCTGGGCTTCTTTGCTGACCTAATCCAGTCCCCTCCCCCTTTCTGTCTCCCTCTCTCCTGTTCAGGCAGCTCTGTCTGACACAGAAAGTGGCGTTCAGCTAAGCGGCTCAGAGCGCATGGCCGATGCGTCCGATGGCAGTCTACGGGGACTCTCGGGCCCGCGGACCCCGTCCCCGCAGCAGCGCGCCTCTCCTGGCCGCGGTCGTTCCCCGCGCCGAGGCCCATCTCCAACCTGCTCTGACTCCTCCACTCTTGTCCTGATTCACTCAGCCCTGCACAAGCGCCAGCTGCAGGTCCAGGTAGGGAGGAGCCAGGTTCCTGGGGGCGGAGCTTAAGCATCCTGGGAGGGACGCCAGGGTCCTGGGAAGAGAACTCTGGGTGTCATTGGGTGGATCTAGGACCTTGCAAAAGGACAGCTAAGAGTCCTATACCCTGCCTGGAGCTAAGGGAGAAGTTTAAAGTTCTGGGGCTGAGTCTGTAGTCAGAGTGGGATGTGCTTGCGCAGTTGAGGGAGGAGCCCCGGGGGAGGGAGGAGTCGGGGAGGGAGAGAGGAGCCCCAGAGAGGAAGGGAGGAGCCCAGGGAGGGAGGCAGGCTATAGAGTTCTAGTGTCTGGTTGGTGAGCATCCCTGATCTGAAGAATCCAAGACCCTAGGAAAGGGTCTATGAATAGTAATCAGCCTGAGGAGAAAGGAGTTAGTTCCTCTATAAGGAACTAGGGGGTAGAGTCGAAGCCAGCGTGGGAGGAGATCAAGTGGAACCTGAGTGGAGAGAGAGGAGCTTGGGGGTGTGGGGTGCCCTCCGGTGGGCAGAGGCTACTTCACACAGAACCCAGAAGGGGGAAGGAGCTTGCTTGGTGCTTTGTCTAGGGTGCTGGAGGCTTGGGTTGGAATGGCCAGAGCCCCAGGAGATGAGGTTTGGAGCCCAGCAGAGGTCTGTTCTTAGACGGGTGATGAGGACACAGTGCAGGAAGTGGAGCAGAGCCCCTGGGCCTCACGCATTCTCCTGTCCCGAGCCAGGCTGCAGTATAGGATGAATACACCTGAACCAATAGGGGTCAGGGTGGGCTTCTAGCTCAGAGTGGCTCCTGGCTGCAGGACATGCGTGGACGCTATGAGGCGAGCCAGGACCTCCTGGGTACTGTGCGGAAGCAGCTCAGCGACACCGAGGCTGAGCGCCGGGCCCTGGAGGAGCAGCTGCAGCGTCTTCGGGACACAGCTGATGGGGTCACCCAGGCCCACGAGGACGTCCAGCGTGAGGCCCAGCGTCTGCGGAGCGCCAGTGAGCTCCTGAGCAGGTGCCTGAGGGGTCTGCAGTGGGGGCCCTAGCGTGTAAGAACCTGGGCCTCACTCTGCTCACACCTGTCCCGTGTGCATTTGAACTGCCTGCGATGACAGCTGCCATTCATTCCACTGATCTCCAGGGTTGGTCAGGAAGAGAATAGCTGGGTTCTGTCTGCTGGGAAGAGTTAGCAAGAAGGAACTGGCCGTGGCAGGGGTGGAAGGAGGTGTCCTGGACACAGGTCCTCAGAAGACAGGCAGTGTGGCCTGTGGTCACTGTCTTCCCTGCTGACCAGCCTCCCCTTTGGCTCCACTTCTCCTTGCCCTGCAGGGAGAAGGACATGCTGGCTCACAGCCTGCAGGCGGCCCAGCAGCAGGCGGAGGAGTTCCGGCAGGAGCGGGACAAGCTGCAGGCAGCCCATGAGGAGCTGCGGCGCCAGCGAGACCGCCTGGAGGAGGAGCGGGAGGACTCGGTGGAGGAGGGCGCCAGGGCTCGCAGGGAGCTGGAGCGCAGGTGGGACACCTCTGACCTCCGTGCCAGGACTGTGCCTTGGGGGGCTCAATGGTGTCTCCCGGGTTAGCAAGCACCTGTGTGTTCTTGAGTGAGGTCAGCTACTAACCAGGCTGGTGGTTTACCAAATCCCCTGAGGCACCTTGGAAGAAAGGCCTGGTGATCTGCTTCCAAAAAGTCAGCCACTGGAAACCCCCATGGAGTCTGTTCCGCCCCAGGACATAATAAGCAGTCCTGTACAGAATGGAGATTAGATACGAATGTAAATTCTTTAAAAAGGCCAGAGCCCCTGGACTCAGGGATTAAAGGAATCCCTGAGACTGTCACCTTAGAAAACCCTTCTTCTTGTTGTTGGTGGTGGTGACTGGCTTCGAGTTGAGCACGACTCATAGAGACCCAATGAACAAAAGGTCTGAAGCCCCTCTACAACCGTCGACATTTCTCGAAGTTCATAGTTTCCAGAGGCATTTTGTTTAGAAAATGAATGCCACTCCTTCTTCCAGTGTGTGTGTTTGTATATATGTGTGTGTGTATATATATATATATATATGTGTGTGTGTGTATGTGTGTGTGTGTGTGTATATATGTATTCACGTACACACACATATGTCTCAAACCCAAATGCACTGCTGTCAAGTTACTTCTCACTCCTGGTGACCACATAGGACAAATAACTGTTCCTGTAGAGTTTCTGAGATGATTTTTTTTTCCTTATTGTGTACCATCACGTCAGTTCCGACTGGCACAGGAGGAGATTGCCCCTCCTTCTCTGGTGGAGCATCTGGTGGATTTGAACCACTGGCCTTTGGGATTGCAGAGCAGCTTCTTGCCACTAGGCCACCAGAGCTCCTTTTGACATTAAATTTTTAACAAGAGTTGCCTCATTTTCTTCTTGGGGAGTGGCTAGTGGGTTTCAACCACTGATCTTTTTGGTTAGCCCAGTGCTTAGCCTGCGGTATCCTCACAGGGCTCCTGGGTAACATGTGTACCAAAAAACCGAAACCAAACCATGGCCGTCGACTTGGTTCTCACCCACCTTCCATGGCGTGTGCAAGGCTGCTCCTCTTTGTCCCGTCGGGCAGCTGGTGGATTCAGACGGCCCCACTTGCAGTTAGCAGCTCAGACTGCAGTGCACTGTACCACCAGGGTTGTTTGAATGATACCTGCAGGAGTAGGTGGTTGTTCTGTGTCATTAGACTCAGCTAATCCACCAGCAGGTTTTCAGGGGCTGTAAATCACATGGGAGGAGATTGCCTATTTCCCTTGGAGCAGCTGATGGATTTGAACTACTTGCCTTTGGGTTGGCAGTAAAGATCCTTACCTGGTAATAGACATTATTCTTTTTGGTTTTTTAATTAATTTTAATGAAAGTTTACAGAGACTTAGGGTTTCCAGTCATTCATTGTGGCACTTTTCTCCCTTTCTACCCACTCCCTCCCCAATTAACTTTTCTCCTTGATGAGTAAAAGAAATATTCTTTCATTGCTATGTAATCCCTCCCCTCAAGTCCACTGCACTGTGCAGCCTTCATTCTAGACTCCTGTAATGACAATAATACCTTATATATCCCTTTTAAACAGTTCATTCCCTCATCTGTTGCAATGCAGTATACATCATTCCTCCCCTTCTTCTCTGTCTTCCCTCAACCCGATTGTCCTGTTTTATAATAGTGGTCCTATGCAATATCTGTCCTTTTGTGACTGAGATATTTCATTCAGCATTTCCTCTAGGGTCATCCACTTAGCATAATATTTAATGAGTTCCATGTTTTTCAGTGCTGCATAGTATTCCATTGTGTGAATATACCAGAGCTGCTCTATCCATTCATTTGTTGATGGACACTTCGTTGTTGTTTCCAGCTCTTTGCTATTATGAACAAAGCCTCAATAAACATGGGTGTGCATAGTAGACATTATTCTTATTTTTAAGCCCCCAGAGAGGTACTGTTTTAAACCTTTTTATAAGGCGTGTATCTTTGTAACAAGTTCATGAAATAGATGTCAACCCATTTTGCAAATGTAAAAACTGAGGCCCTAAGTCAAGTCACTGAGTCAGAAGGTGGTAGGGATTGGCTGCCCTTGTGAGTGCGGCCCTGTCTCCAGGCCTTACCTCTGGTCTGGTTTCCTGTCCTGGAACTGTTTGTCTAGAGGAGGCTCAGGGCAGGGAAGTGACACAGGACCCCTCCCTCCCCTCCTCTTTTCTGTAGCCACAAACAGCTAGAGCAGCTGGAGGGGAAGCGCTCAGGGCTGGCCAAGGAGCTGCTGGAGGTGAGGGAGGCACTGAGCTGCGCCACGCTGCAGAGGGACGTGCTGCAGGCCGAGAAGGCCGAGCTGGCCGAGGCACTGACCAAGGTGAGTCCTGCCTGTGGCACAGCCACAGCTGACCCCTGACGTTGCTCATAAACCTGTCTCGGGCCCTAGGTCCCCAGCCTTGTTGCACCAGCTTTGTTATCGTGAGGTGCTGTCAAGTTCATTGAGACCCAGAGCGACCCTCTGAACAATAGACCTAAACTCTACCCTCTCCTGTGCGATCTCTACCGTCTCTGATATGCTCAAGCCCATTGGTACAGTGACTGTGTCAATCTGTCAGTCTTGTTGAAGGTCTTTCTTGACAATCAACAATCAGCTGTTCCTCAGCTGTCTACAGTGCCAGCTATGTTGTTGTTGTTATGTGCTGTCAAGTTGCTTGCGACTCATAGCGACCCTATGTACAACGGCCCTAAACTCTGCTCTGTCCTGTGCCAATCGCACTGCCTCTGACACACCCATCCCGATTACCCAGTCACTGAATCAATCCACCTCATAGAGGGCCTTCCTCTCCTGCGCTGTCCCTCCACCCTCCCAAGCCTGACATCCCTCTCCAAGGACCCGTCCCTCCTTGCAACATGTCCAAAGTATGTCAGACGAAGCCCCAGAATCCTTGCCTCCAAGGACCCGTCCCTCCCTTATTTCAGCCTGACTACTGATCCTGAGGACAGTCTCGTCTTATGTTTCTGGACACAAGCCTTTCCTGGGCCTCCTGGAGTCACCCAGGCCCCTCTGGCCACACATTTGAAGCTGGTCCCTGAGCAAGGTCCCTGTAGTCTGACTGTTGAGGCGGGTCTCCCATAGCTATCTCTGACCCTGCCTTGCAGTGTGAGGTGGGGCTGCTCTGAGCTTGCGCAGCTCGCTGTGTGTGGCTTCTTTCTGATGGCCGTGTGGGCAGCAGGCTTTGGTCAGGGGTGGTTTTCTGTCTTCCTCCCTGTCCCTCCCTCCCTCCCACTGCCCTGCCTTTCCTGTCTCACCACCTTTCTCCTTGTCCCCCTGCCTCCTCGTCCCTCCCTCCCTCCCTCCCTGACCATCTCTGTGACCCGACAGGCTGAGGCTGGCCGTGTGGAGCTGGAGCTCTCAATGACCAAGCTGAGGGTGGAGGAGGCCTCTCTGCGGGACTCTTTGTCCAAGATGAGCGCCCTCAACGAGAGCCTGGCTCAGGACAAGCTGGAGCTGAACCGCCTCGTTGCCCAGGTACCATGTGCCACCCACCCACCCAGTTAGCTGTCCCCTCTGCTCAGAGGACATCTCTCGGTGTCCAGGCTCAGCTGTCACACACTGCACTTCTGTCCTTGTGCATCTGCCTTGGCCCTTGCCTCTCCTCCTTCTCTTTCTCACTCCCCCTATCTGTCTGTCTGCTATCTCATGATATCAGAGAGAAGGATTTCATGGATTCGCCTCTCTTCTCCCTCCGTAGCACCCTCACACCCAGGGACATAGCCCCTCTCCCCCGGGAACCTCCCTGGGCTGCCTGGAGGATGGGACGGGGAGCTGGAAACTCCTGACCAGGTGAGGTGGGTGATCTGCTCACCGGTTCCCACCTCACCCCGACCCTGGGCCCTGCAGCTGGAGGAGGAGAAGGCAGCGCTGCAGGGGCGACAGCGGCTGGCCGAGCAGGAGGCCTCCTTGGCGCGGGAGGAGCTGGAGCGGCTGGAGCAGCAGCGTCTGGAGCAGGAGGTGGAGCGGCAGGGTCTGGAGGGCTCCCTGCGGACAGCTGAGCAGGCCCGGGAGGCCCTGGACCACCAGCTCCCCGCACTGCGCCAGGAGCGAAGCCGCATGCAGGAGCAGCTGGCCCAGGTGGGCTAGGGCGCTGTGTGGACGCCTTGAGGTGGGGGTGCACGGCATGCATGGGCCTGGGCTCTGAAACCTGAGTCTGCGCTTAAATCCTAACTCCACTTCCACTAGTGGCCACTGGTGACCTCGGAGAAACTACCCAACCTCTCTATCTAATAGTTGCCATCACAGAGAATATACAGGCGTGCTGGTTTTACTGCATTTTGCAGATGCTGTGGGATTTTTTTTTTTTTACAAATTGGGAGCTGTGGTAACCCTCTGTTGACTTCTGCGGTGCTATTTTCCTAGTAGCTTGTGCTCACTCTATCTCTGTGTCACATTTTTTGTTGTTCTTCCAATATTTCAAACTTTTTCATAATGTTGTTGATTGTCATCGAGTCGAGCATGACTCATAGCGACCCTATGAACAAAAGACCTGAAGCCCCTCTACAACTGTCGACGTTTATCAAAGTTCATAAATTTTCTGGAGGCATGTTATTTAGAAAGTGGATGCCACTCCCGTTTCCAAACCTGTCATAGTATGTTATGTGCTATTTAGTCACCTATGATGTATAACAACCTATGTACAGTAGTGTAATGGATTGTTGTTGGATGCTGTCAAGTCTAGGAACTGACCCATAGCCGACCCTCCGGTGGCTTTTCAGAGGCAGTAGATCACATGGGAGGAGCTAGTGTGTGCGAACTCTGTACCTTTGCAGCAGCACAACCACAAAATCACACCTACTGCTATTGAGTTACTTCTGACTGACTGCAACACATAGGGGAGAGTGAGCCTAGGTAAGAACTCACAGAATGAGCGTAGGTGGGAATCCATAGTACAGAGTGAGTATAGGTGAGACCTGCACTACAGGATTTCTGAGGTTGTAGAGCTTTGCAGAACAGACTGCCTTGTCTTTCTCCTCAGGAGTAATTGGTGCGTTTGAACTGCCAATCTTTTAACAGGCCAACATGTAACCCACTACTCCATGATGGCTCCTTTAATAGATTTTATAGCATTAACATAACTTTTTAAATTATTATTTTAATGAGTGTTTACAGAGACTTTAGATTTCCATTCATTCATTGTTGCTCTTTTCGCCCTGCCCACCCGTCCCCCCTGCCCCAGATCGTTCTTCTCTTTGAAAAGTAAAAGAAAAATTCTTTCATTGTTACACAATCCTTCCCCTCAAGTCCACTCCACTATGCGGCCTTCGTTCTGGACTCCTGTCATGACAATAACACCTAATCACATATCCATTTTAAACAGTCTTCTCCCTCATTTGTTTCAATACAGTATACATTATTAACCCATCTTTTTCAGTCTCCCCCACTCCCCGAAGTCAGTCCTGTTTTACAACAGTGACCCTTTGCAATATTTGTTCCTTTGTCACTGAGATATTTCACTCAGCAAATGTCCTCCAGGGTCACCCATTTTGTATAATATTTTATGAATTCCTTGGTTTTCAATGCAGTGTAATATTCCATTGTGTGAACGTACGAGAGCGTCTCTATCCATTCGTTTGTTGATGGACACTTGGGTTGTTTCCAGCTCTTTGCTATTGTGAATAAAGCCGTGATAAACATGGGTGTGCATAAACATAACTTTTTTGTATGCACAATTGTTGTTGCTGTTAGGTGCTTCAGAGTTGACTAGCACTCAGATCTGAACCCTGTCCTGCCCTGCGCCATCATCATCATCATCATCTCTGACATACTTGAGCTCATTGCTGCAGTCACTGTATCAGTTCATTTTGTTGACAAAATTCCTTCCTCTCCTCCTCTGACCCTCCACCTTTCCAAGCATGTCTTTTCCAAGGAATGGCCCCCCTAACAACATGCCTGAATTATGTTAGACCCAGGTTTGCCATCCTTGCCTCTAAGGGGCATCCTGCTGTACTTTCAAGACGTATTTGTTCCTTCGGCAGCCCATGGGATATTCAGTACTCTTTTCCAGCACCAAACTCAAAGGCAAACTCAGGACATCAGTTCTTCTGTCATCCTTATTCACTGTGCCACTTTCAGATGCATAGCAAGTGATTACGCTGACCCCATTGCTCCTTTACCCTTTGGAGAGGTTCTTGACTTCCGCAATGCAATACATCTTTTGATTTCTTAGCCACTAATACCAAGGGTGTTGATTGTGGATCCAAAGTAAGATTGAATTGTTGACAACTTCAATCTTGTCTTCATCTGTTTGCCTAGTCCTGAAGATTATTGGTTTAATGATGTTGGGATGTAATCAATATTGAAGGATCATCCTCACTTTCAATAATCAAGGTTGTGTCATCTCTGTAACCCTGGTTGTTAATGTGTCTTCCTCAGATCCTGATGTGACATTCTTCTTCATAAAGTCCAGCTGCTCAAATTATTTGCTCAGTATATAGATTGAATAGGCATAGAGAAAGGATACAGCCGTGATGCACACCTTTCTTGATTTTAAATGTCATATTTCCTTGTTCTGTTTGGACAACAGCTTCTTGGTTTAGGTATGTTTTTCATGGGCACAATTAATTGTTCTGAGATTCCCATTCTTCTCAATGTTAGTCATAATTTGTTATGATTCACACAATCAGATGTCTTTGCATAGTCAATAAAACATGTATAGACATCCTTCTGGTATTCTCAACTGTTAGCCAAGATCCATCCAACATCAGCAGTGTTATCTCTGGTGCCATGCCTCTTCTAAATCCATCTTGAACCTCTGGCAGTTTACTGCTCTAGCCGTTTTTGGATAATCTTCAGCAGTATTTTACTTACATGTGATATTGATGGTATTATTTGATAATTTCCACATTCTCTTGGATCACCTTTTTTTGGAAATGGAAACAACTATGGATTGCTTCCAGTCAGCTGTCCTCCAGATTTCCTAGCTCAGACTGTTGAACACGTCCCACCCAGGGCTGCATCTGTTTGTTGAACATTTCAGGTGGTATTTCTGTCAGTTCCTGGATTCTTCTTTCTTGTCAGTGCCTTCAGTGCAACTTGAACTTCTTCCTTCATTATCGTTGTTTTTTTGATCCTATGTTTTTTGATCATATGCTGCTTCCTGAAATGGTTCGACATCAGCCAGTTCTCTTGGTACAGTGGCTCTGTTTATTCCCTCCATCTTCTTTTGAAACTTCCTGGATCGTTCAAGATTCAGCCTGTGGTATCCTTCAGTATTGCAGCTTGAGGCTGGAATTTGTTTTTTAGTTCTTTCTGCCTGAGAAATGCTGAGCAAGTTCTTCACTTTCTTTTCTGACTCCATCTCTTTGCATTTCCATTATACTTGGCTTTGTCTTCTCGAGCAGCCCTTTCTGTTTATCTCTTTTACTTCAGAATCTCTTCCCTTTGCTTTGGTTTCTCTATGTTCTGCACTAGGAAACCAAACAATGTATGTGGCTTGCTGTATTGTGGTGTTCATTGCTGTCGAATCACAACGGACTCATCCTGACTCTGTGGCAGGGTTTCAGAGCCAGTAAATTACACAGCAGGAGATGGCCTTTCTCCTGAGGAGTGGTTAGATTAGTGGATTCGAACCACCTGCTTAGGAGTTGCCAGCATAACTCCTCATCTGTCAGAGGTCCATCATTTTAGTGTAGTGACCTGGAAATGGCTTTGCAGTTTATCAGTGCCTTCATTTATACACAGCAGTTCGGGGCAGAGCGGGACTTGAACCCTGCTCTACTGGCTGTGGGGACTGAGGGCTGTGTGCTGAGCAGGCTGGGGATTCGGGCAGGGGAGCTCACGGTCTGGTGGGGGCAGCTCTCCCGGCAGCTGAACGGGCGGGAACAGGAGCTGGAGCAGGCCCGGCGGGAGTGGCAGCGGCAGGAGGAGGCGCTGGAGCGGGCAGCCCGGGAGAAGGAGGCCCTGGCCAAGGAGCGGGCCGGCCTGGCGGTGCAGCTGACGGCCACTGAGCGCGAAGTCCGAACCCTGTCCGAGGAGGCCACACGCCTGCGGTGAGGCCTAAGACCCTGCCCACCCACAGTTCACCCCGGGGTGGGGGGAGGTCTACCTGAGGTCACAGCAGGGACAGCCACTCCCTGGCATCAGCCCCCAGGGGCAGTTACTTAGGAGCAAGGCTTGCCAACACGCCCTCGCTGTGGCTCAGCCTTCCCCAGGGAGCATGGGCCCGGTCAGGCAGGTGGGCTGGCACCTGGCCCACTGCTGGCCACGCCCTGGAAGCTCCATCTTCCTGGGGCCAGAGAGGCTGAGTCCCAAAACCTGGGGCCCATGTGTGTGCATGTGTGCAGCCTGGAGAAGGAGGCCCTGGAGAGCAGCCTGTTCGAAGTGCAACGACAGCTTGCCCAGCTCGAGGCCCGCCGGGAGCAGCTGGAAGCAGATGGGCAGGCCCTGCTGCTGGCCAAGGAGACCCTGACTGGTACGGGGCCTGGGGCAGGGGTGGACACACCAGATTGCAGCTCAGAGTGGGTCTCACAGGAGCTGGGAGCACTGCCTGAGGCGTCTGGCTGACCTGGGTTCTATCCTGAGGCCGCCCCTGAGCTCTGAGTCTTCTTTCCTCCCTGGGCGGCAGGCACCTCATCTTAGAGAGATGATAATGGGCACTTTGTGAGGCTGTCGCCAGGATGAAGAGAGGAAAGTGTGTAAAAAGGCTTGTCCCGGTGCCGGGCTCAGGTAACAGTGGCTGCTGTCTGGCACTGTCAGGGCAGTTCCGACAGCCTTTCCAGATGACTCTGGGCCCGTCAGTCCCAGCCCCTTCTTTCTGCGTTCCCCACCCACTCTCTGAGCTCAGGGCTCTAATCGCTCTGCAGGCACAGAGCACCTGCCTGGGCCGTGGAAATGCGTTCTCCTTTCCACGTGTGCTTGAGCCCAACAGAAGTAGAAAGGGAAATGGGGCCACTGGCGGGTTCCCAACCCAGGAGACGGTTCTCAGATGGCCCACGTTGGGGCGTGTCCTCTCCACGGCCACCTCCATTGGTGCCGACAGCTGAGGTGTGAATTGTAGTTGGTCAAGGAGGAGCAGCCTCACGTAAAGCCACACAGCTTTGCGAGGTTGCTCATCTCCTGAGTCTCCGTGTCCTCATCAGCGCGCTGAGGATGAGGACACATTATGCGAGTATTTTATGAACATGAAATAAGATTACAGAGTGCTTGGTCACGTGTGTCACCCAGCAGCAGCAGACAAACCAGTTGCCTCCGGCTCATGCCGACCCCACGTATGTCAGGGTAAAACTGTTCTGTAGGGTTTTCAGGGACTGGGTTTCCGCAGCTGGATTGTCAAGCCTTTCTACTGATGCACCTCAAAGTGGATTCAAACCTTCAGCCTTTTCGTAGCTCCTGAGAACTTCAATTTCTTACACCACTCTGAAGCTCTTGACCCATAACTTGTTCTGCAAATAAAGAAGGCAGTTATATTTTTGTTATTTTTCCCATTTGGGGGCCCTCTTCATTAGTTAGGGAGCTCTAGTAGCCTAGTGGTAAGAAGCTGTGCTCCAATCCCAAAGGTGCACAGTTTGAAGCCACCAGGTGCTCCATGAGAAAAGGATGGGCAGCCTCCTCCCATGTGATTTACTGCCCCTGAAAACCTGCTGGAGGGTCAGCTGTGGGTTAGTTCTGATTTGACGGTAAACAACCACCACCACCTCATCAAGTACTTCATCTTGTTAATGCTGTTCCAGGTAGTCAGGGCGGGGTCCAGGCCCGCAGGTGAGGAAACTGAGGCCCTGTGAGGGTGAGCAGCTTCTTCTAGAAGACACAGCCTCGCCGCCAGCTGGGTCATCTGCTCAGCGGGCTTTCACCAGCATAGCTCACGTGTCAGAGGCTTCTGACCTGAGGAGAAGTTTAGACCTGAGCCTGTCCTTTCCTTCCATCCCTCCGGTTCAGGAGAGCTGGCGAGCCTGCGGCAACAGATGGCAGCTACAGAGGAGAAGGTAGCATTGGACAAGGAGCTGATGGCTCAGAAGTTAGTACAGGCTGAGCGAGAAGCCCAGGCCTCTCTGCGGGAGCAGCGGGCAGCCCATGAGGAGGACTTGAAGCGTCTTCAGCGGGAGAAGGTGGGTCAGGTGGGCAGGGGGCTCTGAATCTCTGTCTTCTCTGTGACCTCAGACGAGTCCTCACTCTGCTTTGTCTTCACGTCTGTGAAATGAGGCTTCATTTCTATTTGGGGGTCCTGGGGACAGTTAGGAGGATATGTATGGATTCCTTGTCAAACTTACAAAACTTGAACACCAAATCTGGTCTATCCCTGGTAATCTGGCTGTGGGCAGCGCATGACCATGTTTGAGAAGCATTTTCATTTCCTAAGAAGTGCTGTTTGCATATGGAGGATCGCTGTGGAACTTGAACTTATAGGAAAAGCAAAGGGCCAGAGTGGTAACTATAAGGCAGAACAGAAAGGATTTTGGATGTCTGAATCTGATTTAGTTATGCCTTAGCTGTATTACCCAAGGTCTAAGTGCCTTACTTTCCTCTTCTGTAAAAATAGGTTACTGTTGTTGTTAATGTGCCATCAAGTCACCTGCATTTCCTCGTGACCTTATGTACAATAGCTCTGAACCCTGCTCTGTCTTAAGCCAGGTAATGATAGTTGAAGGTATTATGAGGATGGGATAAGCCAAATGGAGGATTTTAGCACATAGTACTGGTTGTTGTTGTTGTTACTGTTTTTAGAATAACCTCTAGAGTGGGCCTCAGGACACAGCATGGACCGAGCTGTCTCCTACAGGGGTTCAAGTTTCACAGCTCAAGGGCACGTTAGTCTTAGATTTGGGGCTGTATTATCACCTTTTCCAGCAGGTGGCAGCACAGGAGAATGGCCTCTTTATAACTTTTCTAAAGTGTGTGAACAAGCTTTGTTTCTTAGAAATTTACAGAATTTTAAGTGTTTGTTACATTTAATTTTTTTAGTCAGATGATTTATTGGAAGCAGTTGAAAATAGTCTAACTTTGAGGATCCTCATTTATTTATTTCTACTGCAATTTTAGTATCTTAGTTTCAGTTGGTTTCCTAAGTCATTTATGAGAACATGAAATAGCTTACCAAAAAGCAAGCCCAGTGTCGTCAAGTCTGTTCTGATACATAGCAGTCCTATAAGACAGTAGAACCCACCGTCTCGGGCTTCTGAGACCATAAACCTTTATGAAGCTGATGCTGCATCTTCTGCCGTGCTGCTTGGGAATTGCTGTGATGCTGGAGCTAAGCTACCAGTATTCCTACCGGTGTTAGCAATGCTGGGCAAGTTTCAGGGGAATGAATATTAGAGTCAGCCATACCAGTAAGGCAGAGCTGGTGGCAGACTTCTGAAAACTAGTCTATAAAAAATCTGTGGCTCACAAAAGGATACTAATATAGTGCCAAATGATTAGCCTCCCTGGGCTCAAAGGCACTTGAACCAGAGACTAAGAAGCTGGTGTGGAACCAGGCAACATTTGCTTGTGGAACACGCGTGAATTTGCCATTGGTTGGAGGGTGAACAGCATTTTGTCCTGAGGTGGCTTTAAAGGAGGATCCAGGAAAGCTTGACATTTACATGTGTGCATACATATTGTTGTTGTTGTTAAGTGCCGTCGAGTCGTAGACAACTCATAGCGGCCCTATGAATGAAAGGCGAACACTTGTATAACTTTCATCGTTTCTTCACATTCATAGAGTTTCCGGAGACAAGCTGTTTCGGAAGTGGGTACCACTCCTGCTTCCAAGCTTGTTTTAACATTCCACCCTAACCCTCACCAGAACCAGCAAACAAACCTCTGTAGAATCCAGCTGCTGCAGACGACTTCCAACCTGGATTCCAGCCCCATACTGCCGACCTAATGCATTTTTAAATAGGAGGCCGAATTAAATCAACTCACGTCCTAGGGAAATACCTTGAACAAAATCGGCTTTAGTTTTCCCTCTGAGTTGCAGTCAGATGAGTAAAATTCCTCTTCATGAAGTGAAATATGCTGCTTACATTCTATAAGGACTTTTTCCTGATTGGTGGCCAAGTAATGGTATTTGATACCAAGAAATTATTTGGGAAGTTAAAATTGCTGAGAGGACTCAATGCGTTACAGTCTCTCATGTATATATTAGCATGCCTGCTTGTGGATAAGTGTGCATCCCTAAAGATGAGGGAAAGTAGTGTGTGTTCCCCACCCTGGTCCTGCTTGGGAACCCTGGAATCTGAAAGAGGGGGAGAAAGTTGATGGGGGGCTGCACATTAGGTGCTTTATATGAAGTCTTAAATTATTCTATTTGTGTAGATTATTATGAGCAAGACAGCAGATGCTCCTTTGGAAGCAGGAGTGGCCTCCACTTCCTAAACCACATGCCTCTGGAAACTCTATGAACTTTGAGAAATGATGATAGTTATAGAAAGGCTTCAGGCGTTTTGTTCATAGGGTTGCAATGAGCCGTGCTCGACTCGATGGCAATCAACAACAACAAGGGTTTAGTACTGACTCCAAAGTTCTGGTGGCTTAGGGGTAAGGAGGGAAGCTCTGGTGGCCCAGTAGTAATGAGTTGTGGTGCCAACCCTAATACCAGAGGTTCAAATCCACCAGCTGTTCTGTGGGAGAAAGATAGGCTCTCTCCTCCCATGTGATTTACTGCCTCTGAACACTCACTGCAGGGTCATCTATGAGTCAGTTCCGACTTAATGTGCTTAATAACAATAACAGCAAGGGGGTAAGATGTTGTACTGCCAACATAAAGGCAGGTGGTTCAAAGCCTCCACCTGTTCTTGGGTGAAAGATGGACAGTCTCTTCCCGTGCAGTTTACAGCCTCTGAAAACGCTGGAGGGTGAGCTGAGAATCAGGTTCCACAGCAGTGACTTTTAGGGAGTCCTGGTGGCCTAGTGGGTAAGGAGTTGCACTGGCAATCTAAAGCAGGTAGTTTGAATCCACCAGCTGTTCCCCAGGAGGAAGATGGACAGTCTCTTGCTATGTGATTTGCTGCCCCTGAAAACTCATTATACGCTCAGCTCTGAGTCAGTTCCCACTCCATGGTGTATAACAGTCTTAACAATACCAGTGGGAGCTCATGTTCCTACACTGGGTATCCCTGGTGCTCTACTCACCTCTCCACTCACCTACACTCTGCACAGAGAGTCAAACTCCTGAGCCCTTCCTCAGCCAAACTTGGTCTCATCAGTGTCCCCCTATCTACTCTCTTCCCTCTAGCCATCCCCAGTCAGACCCCTTCAATGATCACCCCTACCCTAACTCCCCTTTAGACCTCCCCTAGCCCCTGTGGTCCCTCTTTCAGACTGTCTGACAACCCCCTAGTCTAATGCTCACATTGCTCCTTGTACGCACAGGCTTGAGGCCGCCTGGTCTCCCCACTGCCCTCAGGATCCTGCCCCCTTGTCCCCACAAGGTCTTGCCTGGCCTGGCTGCTGCCCATCCCCCTTTGCCCCCTGGTCCCTCGTATTCTAAGCAGCAGCATCAGGATGGGGAACTCCATTCTGTCAGGTCAGTTCTGACTCATGAAGACCCCATATGTGTCCGAGCTGACTTATACTACACAGAGTTTTTAATAGTTGGTTTTTTGGAGGTGCATAACCAGGCCTTTCTTTCTGGGCACTTCTGAGCAGCCTAAACTACCAACCTTCTGGTTTGTAGCTGAGCATATTATCTGTTTACATCACCCTGGACTCCTGGAATTACCTGGTCCCTTGATTTACCTCTTGGGTATGGGGCAAGATTGTTCTGGCTGCCCTGAGGCCTGTGAGGGCTCCATAGGCCAGCCTGGTGTGTCACCATGCCTGATCCTGGTCTTATAGGAGGAGGCGTGGCGGGAGCTAGAGGCTGAGCGGGCCCAGCTGCAGAGCCAACTGCACCGGGAGCGGGAGGAGCTGCTGGCCCGCCTGGAAGCTGAGAAGGAGGAGATGAGTGAGGAGATAGCAGCCCTGCAGCAGGAGCGGGACGAGGGCCTCCTCCTGGCCGAGAGTGAGAAACAGCAGGTTTGCATGCCCGATGAGGCCTCCACTGCCCAAGAGGGGACCTGTCCTGGTCCTGGCCCCTGGGCAGCCACCCAGAAGCTAGAAGCCCCCAGGCCTGCCCCTTTCCTCTCTGCACCTGCTTCCTCTCCTGTGCAATGGGAGTATTAAAGGGGTGTTTGTGAAGTATTGCTGAGGCTGATGTTCCTAAAGATGCAAGCCCATCCCTGGTGCATACTGGGAGCTTGTACATAAACCTACAACTCCTTGCCTGGCACACAGTGGGAGCTCATTCATAAAGCCGCAAGCCCTTGTCTGGCACACAGTAGGAGCTTACGCATAAAGCCACAAGCCTATGCCTGGTGCATAGTGGGAGTTTGCCAAAGGACAGTAACTGTGGTGACTCCAGAGCTTGGGTTCCAGAGAAGCTGCCCTGTATTCTAAACTGATTGCCTACCCTGCCCCACAGTGAACATGACATTCTCTTGATCTGTCTTCCTGTCTCCAGAAGAGTCTACATGCCTTAGCTAACTTTTCCTCCAGAAGGACTAGCTGACTCTTGACTTTCTCATCATATGCTAGAGACTTCAGGCAGACTCCTTCCGTCTCTTCCCCCTATTAGCCCTGAAATAGTCCCTTTGCCTCTTTAAGCCTTAGTTTTGTCATATGTAAAATGGGCATAATGATAATAGCTCAAGATTGTTATAACAGTGGAGCTCTGGTGGCCTAGTGACAAGAAGCTGTGCTGCAATCTTGAAGGCGCACGGTTTGAATCCACCAGATGCTCTGCTAGAGAAGGAGGGCAATTTCCTCCTGTGCCAGTCAGATCTGTTTCGACTGTACACAACAACAACAAGATTGTTATAACAAGGTGGTGAGATAACTTGTGTTCATGTCGCAGGTTCTAGCTGTTGCACCCTGTGATGGGCCTGGTGGGGGGTGGACATGTCACCTTCAATGTGGACATGTCACCTTCAATGTGGACATGTCACCTTCAATGGTCCAATCAGGCCACCAGCCCCTCGTGGACACTTTTCCCAGGGAAGTGTCCGAGTGCCCCCAGGACCATCTCCTGAAGCCTGGTCCCTTGCCTGTGTCTAGGCCCTGTCCCTGAAGGAGTCCGAGAAGACAGCACTGTCAGAGAAGCTGATGGGCACGAGGCACAGCCTGGCCACCATCTCACTGGAGATGGAGCGGCAGAAGCGAGATGCACAGAGCCGGCAGGAGCAGGACCGGGTAGGCTACCTGGAGGACCCCGTCTGAGGAAGAGTCATGGCCCTGCCCCTCAAGAAGCCTCCAGTCTGTGGGAGGAAGCTCAGCTCTTTCCTTGGGAGTCTCTAGCCTGAGGAAGGTGGCATGGGACTCCCCAGTCTGAGGGAGGTGGTGCAGTCCTCCTCTTGGGACTCCCTAGTCTGAGGGAGGTGGCAGAGTCTTTTCCTTGGGACTCCCCAGCCTGAGGGAGGTGGCAGAGTCTTTTCCTTGGGACTCCCCAGCCTGAAGGAGGCGGCACAATCCTCCTCTTAGGATTCCCCAGCCTGAGGGAGGTGGGGCACAGCTCTGCCCTGGCAAATCCCTTCCTCTGAGGGGCAGACTAGCTAGCTACACGGTCTGCACTCACTGGCATGGAGGGCTCAGCGGAGGGTCTGGCACACCAGAGGGCAAGGCTGGGTTTGGAGCTGAGAGTGGAGGTTCAGCTGGGGGAGGGTGATAGAACAAGACCAAGTTTGAGGTGCCCACCTGCCCCAGAGCACTGTGAACGCCCTGACGTCTGAGCTGCGGGACCTACGGACTCAGCTTGAGGAGGCTGCCGCCACCCATGCCCACGAGGTGAAGAGGCTGCAAGAACAGGCCCGAGACCTGGGCAAGCAGCGGGAATCCTGCCTGCGGGAGGTGAGCAGCCCGGTGATCTCTCCTGGTTTGCGAGCTCAGTGTGGCTGTGTGCCTGGGGTTCTGGACCTGTGAGGGCCCAGAAAGTGATCTGAGAAGTCAACAGCCAGCTTAGAGAGTAGACAATAAGCATTTGTTTTTGTCACTGTGTTTATATGGTTGTAAAAAATAGATATAGAACACGACATTTACCAATTTAACATGTTTTCCCCATGTAGAATTTGGTAGCATCAGTTGCATTAATCGTATTGTGATACCACCGACTCCTAGCTACTGCCAGATTTTCCATCCCCACAAACACAAACTTATTTCTTCCCAGTGATTCTCTCTCTCTCCTCCCTCTCACCTCTGATAACTACAGATGTACTGTTTTTGTCTCTATACTTTTGCAGCAAGCATCTATTAAGCACATGTTGGATTCCTAGCCCATGAGGCACCTCTCATCAGGAGGGGCTGGTGGGATCCCTGCCGTCTTGGTATTCGTCCACAGGCCAATCCTGATTGATTACTTCACACCCAGTCACTGCTGGCTAAATGTGGCAAATGTTTTGTGATACACATTTTATTGTAATTAGTTGCTCACCACATCAGTTCCATCTCATGGCAACCCAGTGTGTTGTTCATGGTTGTTAAGCTCCAGGCGTTTCTTGGCTGTAATCTTATCAGAAGCAGATCACTCCCCCTTTCTTCCTCTGGGACTGTTGTGTATGTTGGAGCGGCCACATTTTAGATTAGCACTTGAGCACAAACTGTACTACCGAGACTTGTGCCTGTCGTTGTTTTAGGTAATGTCGAGTCAAGTACAACTCATAGTGACCCTTTGAACAAAAGATCTGAACCCTGTTCTATCCTGCGCCATCCTCACATCTTCTGACACACTAGATGCCATTGCAACAGTCACCCTATCAAGCCTCCTGGTTGAGGATCTTCCTCTCCCTCAATCACCCTCTACCTTTCCCAGCATCATGTCCTTCTCCAAGGAATAATTTCTCCTGGCAACATGTCCAGAGTGTGAGAGGCGAAGCCTCGTCATTCTTGCCTCCAAAGAGCACTCCGACTGTACCCTCTCCAAGACACGTGTTCATTTTCTTGGCTGTCTGTGTGGGATGTTCAGCACCACAACCCCAAGGCATCAATTCTTTTTCTGTCATCCTTATTCATTGTCCAGCTCTCAGTTGCATACCAAGTGATCGGAAAGATCATGGCCTGAATCAGACATACCTTAGTCCTCAGACCATTACCCCTTAATAATTTGGAGAAGTCACGAACTGCAGATTTTCCCGGAACAAGAAAATAAAACAACAAAAACCAGAACACCACTTTTCCCCAACATGCCCTCTCCCAGCCCACAGCTCTCGGGCTCAGAGTGAGGCCCCAGTGAAGGACATGGGAGGTAGCCTGTGTCCAGGGATATGGGTGGGACTGTTTTCACCAGGGCCCAGCTTGAGTGAGGCCTCTGGCTCTGTCCTGTGAACACCTGTCACAGGCAGAAGAACTTCGGACCCAGCTGCGGCTCCTGGAGGACTCTCGAGATGGGTTGCGCCGGGAGCTGCTGGAAGCCCAGCGCAAGGTACGGGAGGGCCAGGAGGACCGGGAGGCCCAGCGCCAGGAGGTGGGCGAGCTTCGGCGTGGCCTGAGCGAGGGGACTAAGGAGCGTGAGGCCCTGCGACGCTCCAATGAGGAGCTGCGGGCTGCTGTGAAGAAGGCTGAGAGCGAGCGCATCAGGTAGGGTCCAGCCCCAAGCCCCAGCCTCACAGGGTCTCATCCGTAAAACCTAATGTCATCACCATTCCAGGAAAGTGCACAGACAGGGAGGGATTCCCTGCCTTCCAATCAACATGATCCCCGGCACAGGGATGTTTTGGGTGGGGTTTTTTCCCCCACCTGTGAGACAGGGGAGTGACAGCAGGCAGGTTTGGTCTAGGCTCTGATCTCCCCTACTGCTGTCCCGCTGCTTAGGAGTTATACGTCAGTGGCTATTGACTGAGCTGAGGAGGGGATACATAAAGAGGTAGCATTTGGGACACCTCCAGAATCTTTGAGGAAGCTGCTTTTGTGTAGGATTCAGGACCTGAGGCCACCTCTGACCCCTGTTCTCTACCCCGTCCAGCCTGAAGCTCGCTAACGAGGACAAAGAACAGAAGCTGGCATTGCTAGAGGAGGCCCGGGCAGCGGTGGGCAAGGAGGCTGGAGAGCTGAGGGCCGGGCTGCAGGAGGTGGAGCGTTCCCGGCTGGAGGCTCGGAGGGAGCTGCAGGAACTGCGCAGGCAGGTGGGCTTCGTCCCTCGTCTCCCACTCCTCACTCCCCACTGTCCATCACGACGTGCTATGTCCCGCTGGCCAGCAGCGCCTCTCCTCAGGGTCCCCTTCTCTCAAACATAAAGCCAGGGCACTGAACTATGACAAGGCTCTTACCTAGCCTTGGTGTCAATGGCTGGGCTTTGAGGAGTCCTCAAAGAACCCCTGAAACTCTTCAGACTGTGTGTGTGTGTACATGCACACTTATATGCTCATTTCTCTGAGGCAAGGATCTAGAGCTCTTGTCTGTTTTCAGAAGAATTATGAACAACATAAGGCTCTAAATGAGAGATTAACAAACATTTTTTCTAAAGAACCATCTAGTATTTTGAGAAATACTATTTTACTGTGTTTTGGTGAAAGTTTATGCAGTAAATTAGATTCTTCTCTGATAATTTCTGTAGAAGCTGTTCGCTGAAATTACATATTTAAGGCTGGGTCTACATCTTGGGTAGCATTCTAGTGGTTCCGTCTCTAGTTCTCTAGTGTCCCTGCTCCCTGATCTTCTCATCTTGGCGTTAGGGTAATGTTGACCTTTTTTTTAAATTTTTTTTTTTTTTAATGTTGACCTTTCTTAAGGGTGCTAGCCTTTGTTTTGTGTCACTCTATTATTAAAAGGTCATGTCAAGATAGTTATGGTGCAAAATTTTAGAGTTTCTCAGGGCAGTAATGTTCTCTGATCTCAGCTAGTCCAGTAAAGTCTGGACTGTTGAAGAATTTGAGTTCTGTTTTGCCTTTCACTCCCCTTCTGTCAGGGACCCTCTGTTGAATTCCTGATCAGAATGGTTGGTAGTGGTTGTTGGACACCAGCTAGTTCTTATGTTCTTGTGGTAGATAAGCCATGGCTTGTGTGGGGTATTAGCCTCTAAACTTGTTTAGTCTCTGAGACTTTGATTACCTTCTTTCTCTTTTGCTCCTGGTAAGTAGAGGCCAATAGTTATATATTAGATGGTAGCTCAAGGCAGATAATTATTTCAAGCTTTTTAGGCCATATCCGCTGTTTAGTGTGGAAGTAGCCATAAACAATACATAAATGAATGGGTGCCAATGAGACTTCATTTATGGACACTGAAATTGGAATTTCATACCATTTTACATATCAAAAAATAGTTCGCTTTTTCTCTCAGCCATTTAAAAATGAACCATTTTTAACCCTTCAAAAAGGCAAGAACTATTCTTAGCTCACACACTTGACAAAAACAGGCAGCTGACCAAGTTTGGACTGTGAACTCTATGTAGTCTGCTGAGCCCTTAAGTTGATTATTTCCAGGCTCATCAGCAATAGCAAGCATATAACCTGTTTGCTGTATGTTGGACACCACCTGGGATAGTGCGGGTTCGGGCTCACTCCCCCTAAAAGACTTGAAAAACAGGACACAGCCCCAGTTGGCCCCTAAGCTTTGCTGTACCCAGAGGCACCACAACCCAAATAACCAGTCATCTACACTTCCCATGCGGGCTTCCTCTACTCAGACTGCCTTCTGCCAGCCTGTAGTCCCAGAACACCACTGGAGTCCTCGAAAGGCAGCTCCTTTTTATTTACCAAGCCCCTGCTGGGACTCTGCATGCTACAGCATGAGCCTCTTAACCTCCCGGAGCTGTATTTATATGGAGTAGGTAGACATTGCCCTCTACCCACTTCTGCTTTGCATTCTGCATGTCTGGAATTGAATCTCAGTCTGCTGCTCTCTGGCTGTGTGGCCTTGGGCAAGTCCCTTCACCTCGCTGAGCCACAGTTTTCTGTTAAATGAAGATAATGTCAGTACCCTACCTGTAATGTTGTGTGAGGTTTAGTTAAGTGAAGTGCTGAACAGAGCCAGACATGGTAAGGACTTGAAAGCCCACCGTCACTGTCGAGATGAAAGATGACCCAGGGGGCTGCGTTTCCTGCTCAGCACTCCCTACCTCTTCTCCCCTTCCTCTCATGAAAGCTAGTTATGAGCTCATTGATTAATTAGTAAACTGGGATAATTGGTGCCCAGGTACCTGCTATGACTTGAGCCTACTGGGCTTACCTGGATCAGGGATGTTATATGATGCCTATGTTCCTAAACATTGGATCCTCAGTAGTCTCTGGGCCAGGTCATGACTGGGTGGCATATGGAAATGGAGTGGAATGGGCTGTTGTCCAGGCCTGTGGGCATGTGCCACCCTGGCCAGAACATGGGTCCCCTTCCCTATCCAGGCTTCCTCTCTCTCTTGCAGATGAAGATGCTGGACAGTGAGAATGCCAGGCTGGGCCGAGAGCTGGCTGAGCTACAGGGTCGCCTGGCACTGGGCGAGCGGGCAGAGAAGGAGGGCCGGCGGGAAGCCCTGAACCTCCGGCAGAGGCTGCTGAAAGGCGAGGCCAGCCTGGAGGCGGTGCGACAAGAGGTAATTGGTTGGATGGTGGGCTGCCTGGAGGTGGAAGCCCCTCAGACGCAGATGAGCTGTCCCCTCCTCTCTCCTCTCCAGTGGGAAGCAGGTTAGGATCCGTGATGGAGCTGTTTCAAGAAACTCCTTAGTACTTGTCCTTACTCCCTTCATGAGACTCTCTTTTGCAGTTATACTAATAACTTGTGTCAATTGAGGGCCTGCTCTGTACAGGCACGGAGTGGGGTACTCTGTAGATCTTTCCAACAACACTGTTGTTGTTATGTGCCATTGACTCGCCTGCGACTCATAGCAATCCTATATACAACAGCCCTAAAGTCTGCCCTATCCTGTGCCAATCTCACTATCTCTGACACACCTACCCTCATTACCCCAGCCACTGAATCAGTCCATCTCATCGAGGGTCTTCCTCTCCTGCACTGTTCCTCTACCCTCCCAAGCATGACATCCTTCTCGAAGGACTGGTCCCCCCTTGCAACATGTATAAATATGTCAGACGAAGCTTCAGAATTCTTGCTTCTAAGGTGCAGCCTGGCTTCACCCTCTCCAGGACAAACCTTTTCGTTTTCTTAGCAGTCTATGATATAATCAATACTCTTCTCCAACACCACAGCTCAGAGGCATCAATTCTCCTTCTATCCTCTCTAGTCATTGTCCAGCTCTTTGATGCATAGCAAGTGATTGCAAAGACCATGGCATGTAGCAGGCACACCTTAGTCTCCAGACTGACATCGTTGCACTTCAGTACTTTAGAGAGGTCTCTAACTGCAGACTTTCCCATTGCAATACGTCTTTTAATTTCCTGGCTGCCAGTGCCAAGAGTGTTGACTGTGGAGCCAAGCAAACTAAAACTGTGAACAATCTCAGTCTGTTCCCTATCAATCATGATGCTGCCAGTTGGCCCAGCAACACTAGGAAATGGATATAATTGTTGTTAAGTGTCATTGAGTTGATCCAAGCAAGGGGAAATTATTGACAATGCCAGTCTTCTCTCCATCTATCGTGATAGTGCCTGTTGGTCCAGTGGTAAAGATTTTTGGTTTTGGGGTTTTTTTTAATTGAGATTTTAATGAAAGTTTATAGAGAACTTGGATATCCATTCGTTTACTGTTGCACATTTTCCTTCCTGCCCCCCTCCCCCCAGTTAACTTTTTCCTTTGGAAAAAAAATTCTTTCATTGTTATACAGTCTCCCCCCCACCAGTCCACTTTACTAAGCAGCCCTTATTCTGGACTCTTGTCATGCCAATAATACCTAATCATATATTCCTTTTATATAAGTCTCTCCCTCATCTGTTTCAATGCCATGTACATTCATTATTTATCCCCTCTTTTCTTAGTTTCTCCCCAACCCACATGTCATTCCTGCTTTATAACAGTGGCACTATGTAATATTTGTCCTTTTGTGCTGAGATATTTCACTCAACATAATGTCCTCCAGGGTCATCCATTTTGTGTACGATTTCATGAATTCTTTGTTTTTCAGTGCTATATAATATTCCATTTTGTGAATATACCACAGCTTCCCTATACATTCGTTTGTTGATGGGCACTTTGGTTGTTTCCAACTCTTTGCTATTGTTAACAAAACACCAATAAACATGGGTGTGCATATATCTGCTTAGGTGGCAGTTATGATTTCTTTAGTGTTTATGCCCAGTAGTGGAATTGCTGATTAAAATTTCTGTTTCCACCTTTTTGAGAAAGTGCAGTACCATTTAACACTCCCACCAATGGTAAATAAGGGTTCCAGTTCCTCCACAACCTTGCTAGCATTTGTTGTTTGCTGCTCTGTTGAATTTTGCTATTCTGATTGGGGTGAGAGTATATCTCATAGTTGTTTTGATTTGCTTCTCTCTTAGAGCTAGGGATTTTGACCATTTCTTCATGTGTTTGTTCACCATCTGAATGTCTTCTTTGGTGAAGTGTCTGTTTGTATCCTGTACCCATTTTGCAATTGGGTTCTTTACATTTATCTTGTTGTGGTGCTCAAGTATTTTATAAATTTTATATATAAGGCCCTTATCAGACATGTCATTACCAAATATTTTTTCCCAGTCTATTGCTTCCCTTTTTACCCTCTTGGAGAAGTTTTTGGATGTACATAGGGATTTGATTCTTAGAAGGTCCTATTCATCTTTTTTTATCCTCTCCTGGTTGTAAGTGATTTTTGTTTTCTTAATGTTGAGATGTAATTCATATTGAAGGCATAATAACCGTATGGTTATAATTAGCCCCATTTTATTGAGATGACCATACATTGTGGCTCAGAGAGGTCAAGAGATCCTCTCATGGTTACACAGCTTCTCAGGTCTATCTGTACTCTTTCTGCTTTGTCTTCACCAGCTGTGTCACTCCTGCACATCTGTGTGACCTTGACCAAGTTACTTGGCCTGCCTGTGCTTCAGGGTCTTCATAGAGTAGGGGTTAGCATATCAGGGATTTATGTTGCACCCTGGTATAAGTCCTGCCATCCAGGGGGCCACTCCACAGATGATAGTTTCCAGGGAAATGGTGATAAGGGTTGCTTATTCTTAGAACCAGAGGCCTTTTCCTTATCTGGTGGCCTCATCCATAGGGAATTGTGCCAACCCAACGGTGGCGCCTTTCTGGCAGTTCAAGTTCATCAGCGGCTCCTTGGGAGAAAGATGAGGAGTCTACTCCTCTACAGTTTATTGCCTCTGAAATCCCACTGGATCTGCTATGAGTCAATTTAAGTTGATCCTTATGAGTTTTTAGCACATGCTTTCTTTGTGTGGTGGTGGTGGTGGTGTTATATGTCACCAAGTCACCTCATAGCCACCTTGTGTATAACAGCTCTGAACCCTCCTCTATCTTGAGCCAATTTCATTGTCTCCGACATACCTACTCCCATTACCCTAGTCACCAAGTCAATCCATCTCATCCAGGACTGTATATAAATAGAGTGCACTGAGTGGCAGTGTAGCTTAGTGCTTAAGAGTCCAGCCTTTGGAGCCAGAGTGCCTGCGTTTGAATTGCAGCTTGTTAGCTGTATTAGCTGCAAGTTACTTAACTATTCTGTATCTCAGGCTCATGATCTGTATAGTGGCAATTTATAGAGTCATAACTATAGTTAAAAAATTTGGGAAGTACTTCCAAATATTTTGGAATAGTGCTTGACATGTGAGAGTGAAATTGTCAATGATTTCATCTTGCTTGGATTCACAATCAACAATGTTGGTACCAGCAGACCAAGAATTGAATAGCACTGGGAAAAGTCTACTGTCGGGGATCTCTCCAAAGTCCTGAAGAGCAGTGATGTAACTTTAAAGACTAGGGTGTGACTCACTCAAGCCCCAGTCTTCCCAGTCATCTGCTGTACATCTGAGAGCAGGATAGTAAATAAGGATGACAGGCAAAAAACAGATGCATTTGAGTTGTGGTGGTGAAGAGCACTGAATATCCCCTTAAGGGTAAAGATGGCCAAGCTTTAAAGGAACATCATACTTGGAGAGGTGAAGGAAAAGAAGACCTTCAATGAGATGCACTGACACTGTGTCTGTGGCAGTGGACTCAAATGTGTCAGGGGTGAAGAGGACGGCCCAGGAGAGGACAGCATTCAGATCCATACCGTCACTATGGCTCAACTTGATTGCACTTAACAACAACGTGTTAGATATTATTACTGATTATGTACATTTTTAAGGCATATATGCAAAGAAAGCCAAGTTATGCTACAACTGTCCCATGGGGTTTCAGGGCACTAAATCTTTATGGAAGCAGAATGCCACATCTTCCTCTGCAGAGCAGCTGGTTGGAAGCCTGAAACTGCTGACTGTTCAGTTAGCAGTCAAGAATTTAATCACTGTACCACCAGGTTTCCTTATATATAAAAGAAGGAAGAGGTAAAAGGCAAATTAACAGTTTCCTTCCATTCCTCTTTGTGCTGATGGTTCTGGTACTCCAGTTTGGGTGGAGACCACTAAAGAGGTGTTGAATTCCGTTAAAGGAGTGGGCTCCAGATTTGGAGATAGGGCTTCAGTTTGATAGGTGACCTCCACCTCTCTTCTCTTCCCCTCTCCTCCGCACCCCGCTCTAGCTCCAGGGAGCCCAGAGGAAGCTGCAGGACCAAGAAGGCGAGTTCCGAGCCCGTGAGCGAGGCCTGCTGGGCACCCTGGAGGAGGCGCGCGGAGCCGAGAAGCAGCAGCTGGACCATGCCCGCAGCCTGGAGCTGAAACTGGAGGCGGCGCGGGCGGAGGCTGCCGAGCTGGGGCTGCGGCTGAGCGCAGCCGAGGGCCGGGCGCAGGGCCTCGAGGCCGAGCTGGCCCGCGTGGAAGCACAGAGGCGCGCGGCCGAGGCCCAGCTGGGAGGCCTGCGCTCAGCCCTGCGCCGGGGCCTGGGCCTTGTGGGCGGGCCGGCCCCGCCCCCGCCCCGCACCCCCCACCCAGTTTCCCCGCCCCGCACCCAGTTTCCATCCAAGAGGCCACGTCCCGCCTCCCAGCATCTGGTCCTCATGCTCTTTCACTATGCAAATAACTGTGCACACCCACTATGAGTCCCTCCCTTCCTCTGCCGCTTTTGTGCCAGAGACCAACATTCCTAAAGCTGCCCTCCTCCTGAGCACCAGTCTCTAGTCCCTCCCACTTCCTCTCGAAGAGGCCACGCCCCTTCCACATTCAAGCTCACTTTTGTCTTTAGACCCGCCTCCTTTAGACCCTCTTCTCCTTCACATCACTTCTCTTACTAGGCAGGCCACGTTTAATGCCCTAATTCCTCCAAGCCTTACAATCCCCATACTCTTAACTCCTTCACTTTCTCCACCTTCACTCCATCCCCTTCAGATTCCTCAGTTCCACTTCAGGCTTCTGAACTTGATGTCTTCCCCAGACTGGGGACACCCTGAAGCCTGACCCCATCCCCCTCCCGGAAGGTATGAAAAGATCCTCCCAGTCCCAGACTGCCTCCACTGCTCCGTGCATGACACTGACAAAGCAAGCCCCTTACATTGATGGGTTGGAGCGCCCTTTAGGAGACATCTGGTTTCCCTCCAGTCAGCCTGAAATCTCTACATTCATGAGACCTGGAGGTAAACCTGTGGAACTCTAGCACTACGGGGTGTTGACGATTGGCACATGGAGTGTGCCTCATTAAGGCACAGATTTAGCTTAGGCATCATGTGTTTAGTCACTCAAGAAGTACTTCTCAAGGAACTCTGACTTAGAGTCATACTGTCAGGATGCTAATTGAAAAGACAGCAGTTGGAACCCATCCTGGAGCAAGATGGGCAGTCACCTCCCGTTGGAATTTACAGCCTCAAGAGGATGCTGTGAGCAAGAAGGGACTTGATGGCAATGAGGTTTTTTGGGGATAATGTGCCAGGTGGCACTGTGGTTAAGTGCTCAGGTCAGATCCAAAAGCTGAGACGTTTCAACTCACCCTAAGGTACAGGGAACAAAAATCTGAGGATATTTGTCCATAATGATTCTAAAAACCTTATTGCCTTTGAGTTTCATTTCCAAGTCTGTAAATATTTTGAGAAGCAGCCAGCCACATCATCCCCCCAGCCCCAGAATAGCTAGAAGATTCAAACCATCAACCTTTTGGTTAGTAATCCAACCATTTGGTCTGCTAAACCTGAAGAGCACCTCCTATAAAGAGTTAAGAAAACCCTGAGAACAGTTCTGTCCTTTTACGCATATTGTCACCATGAGTCAGAGTCTCCTTAACAGCAATTTTTAAAAAATGTTCCAGATACCGGGAGTGGGTAGTAAGCAATGTGTCTCAAGTATTTCTGCTTTTCTGGAATTTATAGTGTAGGTGAGGTTAACAGCAAAGGACTGTAGAGGAAAACAATGCAAGGTTGTGCAGGGCCAGGAAGAACCTCTGTGGAGGAAGTGGCTGGTGGGGGAAAAACAGGGTGTGTGAGAATTGAGGTGTGAGCCCTGGGGGAAGAGGCTCTGAAGAGAGGTGGGAAGGCCCAGAGTGGACACACTGGTCTGTGAGCAGCCATGGTGTGTTGAGCAGGGTGGAGAGGAGCGCAGCTGAGGTGGTGAGGCCAAGAACCCTCTCCAAGTAGTAGACCATCTAGACATGCTCTCTGAATGGGATAGGATCTGTCAAGAGGTCCTGGGTGGTGAGTGGACATCCTCTTCTGATGGCCTTTGGATGCTAAGGAACTGTGTGTCTGCAGGATTGCCTAGCTGTTACTTAACTGAGCCTGTTGGTTTTTGTATACCATGGAGTAGGAAACGACCCACATTTGACACACCCCCCCCCACCACCACCACTGGATTTTCAGAGGCAGTTAATGAAAAGCTGCCCTTTCCTGTAGTTCCAATTCTGACCTCCAGGTGTCGTCCTGCCACTCCCGCCAGCCATCTACATTAAAAGCGCTGGGCTTGGTTCTTGACAGTTGTTGAGTCAGTTCTGTTTATGGTGACCCTAAGAAGCTGCTGAGTGGGTTTGAACAGCCACCTTTTCAATTAGTAGTCAAGCATGTAACTGGCTTTGAGAAGTGGGCTGCCTGGATTAAAATCCTGGCCATGGATTAACTTCCTTAACTGAAATTACCTAACAGCTTTGAGCCTACCTTGCCTTGGAAGTGGGGAAAGTAGTACTTACCTACCAGAAAATTACAGGGAAGAAGAGGTGGCACGTAGAAGGCTTGGACCCTGTGATTGGAGGGTGGATCATGCACCCCTGGACTGGGCCCTGGGGGACACTGTGGTCTGCAGCAGAGATGAGACCCAAAGCCTCACAATGCTCCTGGTGTGGGAGGGAGGCACAGGTCAGATTCCCAGAGGTGGGATGTGCTCTCTCTAATCTTGAGTGGGTGAGGGTGGCATCAGAGGGGGTGACATGTCCATTTAGGCCTAGAGGACAGGCTAGACAAAGAGGAGCCACGGAGAGGCCAGGGAACAATACAGATGAAGGCCCTGAAGCTGGAACAAAGAATGCCCTAGAATGTGGAAACTGAAAGTGGTGCAGTGTGGAAACATTGTAAAGGTCAAGAGGTGAAGCTAGAGTGTGGGCAGCAAGGCCCCTAAGCTCTGGCAGCACATGTGGCCTTGGTTCTGAGGGCTCTCAGGGCCAGTGAGGGCTTTAAGCAGAGAGTGGCGTGGTCCAGTTTGGGCTGTAGAAGCTCACGTGGCTGTTGGCAGTGGCAGGGATGGGAGGTGAGCAAGGTGCATGCAGCCACCACCCAGACTCAAGGGGCTAGTGGTGCCGCTGCCCTGAACTTGTCTTTATAGGAAGCGGGGAGGGGCTCAGCAGCCCCAGCTCCTTAGAACGCAGCCCTGGGTCCATGCCGTCATCCCCAGGACCTGTCACCACCTCCCCAGCACCCCCAGACCTGGACCCAGAGGCGGTACGGGGAGCCCTTCGGGAATTCCTCCAGGAGTTGCGGAGCGCCCAGAGAGAGCGGGTGAGGCTGCATGAGGGGCTGGACAGAGAACCAGGTGGTCAGAGGCCCTGCAAAGCCTGCAGGTTGTTTAGAGCAAGGGTACTTACCCACCTCCCCCGACCTAATGCTGTGACTGCAGGATGAACTTCGGGCCCAGACAAGTTCTCTGAGTCGCCAGCTGGCTGACGTAGAGGCCGAGAGGAACAGCCTGACCTTACGGGCAAAGCAGCTACAAAAGGCTGTGGCTGAGAGTGAAGAAGGTGGGTCAAAGCCTCTGGGTCTCTGCTCTGCCCTCTCGTACCCTTAGTAACTGAGATGGGAGGTGGGGCCACTTGGCTTCTACTTGCCTAATGTGACCACCATGACTTGAGTCAGGAGCTGTCTCCTCCAAGAATCTCCCCTGGTTACTACCACTCAGTATCTAAACCCAAAGACCCTGGGGGCTCAGAGAGGTAGACCCTATGGTGGGTGGAGAATAAGCCAGGGTATCTGTGGCTTTGTCTGGACCTATTTCCCGGCTTGGTGGGCTGCAGGCCGGCGCAATGCAGATGGACGGCTGAGCGGAGCTCAGGCTGAGCTGGCTCTGAAGGAGGAGAGTGTGCGGCGCAGTGAGCGGGAGCGCAGGGCTGCGCTGGACCAGGTGACTGCTCTGGAGAGGAGCCTGCAGGCCACTGAGGCCCAACGCCAGGCGAGCCAGGTGGGCAGAGCTGAGGGCAGGCGGGCACAGGGGGAGCGTGTGTAAGAGCAGATTAGAGTCCGTGAGTCCTGGCTGTGCTTCTGTCTGCCTGAAGCTCACAGCAGCCACTCAAGTGACTTAACAAAAGCATGTTCAGAATCCACTGTCAAAGCGTTGGTGGCATAGTGGCTAGCATAGCTACCTTCCAGCATCCACCGTCCCATTTCATATGGATGTCATGGGGCTTTAGAAGAAGAGCTTGGACTTTGGAGCCAGGCAGCTCCCTGCTCCCTGTTGGCTGGGACCAGTCAGCTGGCTGATCCTTCCTGCTTTATCTGTAAAAAGGAGACCAGGACTGTCTTCCCAGAGATGATGCTCAGAGGCCCCTGGCACAAGGTGGCATGCAGAGGTTTCTGCTCACTTCCTTCTGTTCTGCGTTTCTCTGTACAGCCACGTGAGTGGTGGCTTGGAGTTTTTATGTGGATTTGGAGACATTCATGCATAGCTATGTGTATCAGTGTTTCGTGTGTGTGTATGTCCAGGGCAGGAAGCCCAGCACTGGTGCTGACAGTCCGGGTTGCTGCAGGCCAAAATCCCTGCCCCTCCTCCCTCTCTCATTCCTTCCCTGGCCCTCTGTTATTGCCCCCGCAGCCCACCCCCTGCCTCTGGCTCTGGGCCCAGCGTGAGCTGGATTGTTGTGTCTGCGGCTCCAGCTCTGGCCTTGGGCCCAGCTACAGGGGCCTCGGGATGAGGCCAGGAACAAAGATGGGCAGGAGCTGGAGTGGGGGCTGCCTGGCCCAGACAAGGCAGCAAAGGCTGGGAGGAGGGACCAGGCCTGCGTGGAGGGGTGGGAGGGGAGGCTGAGGGAGCTCCTTAGACCTACCTGCTGACTTCGTGATGGAAACACTGAGCTCCAAGACAGCCTTTCTGGCCTATTCTCAGTCTCCAGGCCCCTTCATTGTTTCACCCTTTGTGGTGGAGGCAGGACAGCATTCCCGAAAGCTCCAGAGTGGTGGGGCCAGGACTGCTGCTCACTAGGCTCTCCTTGTCAGCTTGGGCTACATGTGCAGCTACTGGACTTAGCTCTGGAGAGAGACTGAGGCAGCTGGCTAGGGGCCTTTCTTATTAGTCCCCTCCCCAGGGATCTTCTGAGCACCCAGGTTTTGCTATTTCTGGACCAGTGCAGTCTCTTCACCATGCAGATGTGAGACAGGGCCAGAGGGCAGGAAAGGATAATGCTAAATTTGCCTGTTAGACTCAAGCAAAACTGAAACAGGCTCAGGGAATCTTTAAGACCACCATCCTGTGAATAATTGGGGAAACTGAGGCCCCAGGATGGTCACAGACTGGGCCCAAGTCACACAGTGAGAGGTTGGACCAGCCACTCCAGGCCAGCTCTCTACTTTTTCCTAAGGGTCTAGAGGGCTGGGTAGGATGTCGGGTGGCCTGGATGGCTGGGGCCTGAGCCCTCCCCTGCTCACAGGAGAAGGTCAGCAAGATGAAGGCCAACGAGGTGAAGCTGGAGAATGACAAGCGGCGCCTGAAGGAGGTCCTGGATGCCTCCGAGAGCCGCACCATCAAGCTGGAGCTACAGCGACGCTCCCTTGAGGGGGAGCTGCAGCGCAGTCGCCTGGGACTCAGTGACCGTGAGGCCCAGGCGCAGGCCCTCCAGGACCGAGTGGACTCTCTGCAGAGACAGGTGGGTCCGTGCCCTCCGCCCAGCAGCCACACTTCAGCATGGCTTGTGCCAGGCACTCTATCACACCCACAACTACCCTGTGAGTCAGGTAGTGTCATTATGCCCATTTCACAGATGAGCACATAGAGGCTCAGAGAGGTGATGTCACTTGCCCAACGCCACAAAGCTATTTAGAGGCAGACCAGAGTTAAAATGTGGGACCCTTTGACTCAAGACTCTGCACTCAGTGTAGGTGTGTAGAACAGCTTAGAAACTGAAGTTACACTCTTTGCCCTTTTTGCCTTGACTGCTAGGAAGCTCAGCTCTAACTCGAATTGTCTAGTAAATCTGCTTACCCTACCTCATCCATCTAAGTCAAGAACACAGGGAATTTCAGGATTCGGATGGCTACCCTTTCTCTACCACGGCAGGGTAAAAGCCACAGGTTGTTGATGTTCTGGGCAAAGATAACCTTGCGATGGAAACGGCCAACATTACACTAGACTTAGTACGATATCACTTCATAGTAAGAAGTGACATCAGTGATGCCGAGAAAGGAAGGACTTGGATTGAGCACACCTGTTGATGGGCAGGGCAGGAGCAGAGATGTAGGGGCCAAATGGCACCAGGGCTGCTGGACCATCCTATCCTCCTGACAGGTGGCAGATAGTGAGGCGAAGGCAGGAACCCTGCAGCTGACCGTGGAGCGGCTGAGTGGGACCCTGGCTAAGGTGGAGGAGAGTGAGGGGGTCCTGCGGAACAAGGTGCAGGGACTGACGGAGACCCTGACCCAGAACAATGTCAGCCTCACCAGCACCCAGGACAAGAACCTGCAGCTGCAGAAGGCCCTGGCGGCCTGTGAGCATGACCGCCAAGTGCTGCAGGTACAGCGGCTGCGGGGGCGCTGGTGAGAGGGTCACCTCTAAAAGCAGGTTTGGAGGAGTTCTGGTAGGCAGAATGACAGCAAGCTTTGGGTGGGGTGAGGGGGGGGAGCTCCCTAACAGACCATAGAGGTTGCTCTGGGAGGCAATAGAACAAGCTTAGGAATTCAGATTTGGGGAACCCAGGTACAAGGTTAACTGGGCAGAAGTGGGGCTTCAATGACCCCTTCCTTACCCAGATTGGTGAATAAGGTGTGGGCCGGGTCTGTGCCCTGTGGACTGTGAACCCGGCTCATCAGTAGAGTGGAGGTGGGCACTTCCCTATCCCCCAGGAACGGCTGGAGGCTGCCCGACAGGCACTCTCCGAGGCCCGGAAGCAGAGCAGTGCCTTGAATGAGCAGATGCAGGTGATGCGGAGTGAGCAGGCAGACCTGGAGCTGCAGCGGGCAGAGGCTGAGGGCCAGCTACAACAGCTGCAGGAGGTAAGGGCTAGGATGGGCCCCTCTGTCCCTAGAACTGGGGGATCCTCTGGTTGGAATAGGGACCTTTCCACCCATCTCAACACTACCCCTAATCCCAGGCTTTGCCTCCTGTAAGGCAGCATGGGATCATGCAGTCCCTAGGCCCATTATACAGATGGAGAAACTGAGGTCCAGGGAGGAGTTGAGTTTGGCCTGTGGAGTCTGTTCTTGGAAATGGGCACATCTGCACCTCCAAGTGTTAAATGTGGAGGGAGTTGGGCTCACATGGCTTCTGTTGCAGGTTCTGAGGCAGCGGCAGGAGAGTGAGACTACGGCCCTGCACACAGTGCAGAAACTGCAGGACGAGCGGCGGCTGCTGCAGGAGCGTCTGGGCAGCCTGCAGCGAGCCCTGTCCCAGCTGGAGGCTGAGAAGCGGGAGGTGGAGCGGTCAGCCTTGCGGCTGGAGAAGGACAGGGCAGCCCTCAGGAAGATGCTGGACAAGGTACATTGCTGCCCAAGGGCGTTTCCTCTGGGTCCTCGCCATGGCTGGTCCTGGCTGTGTGTCTCCAGGGTCTGGGGCCTCAGGTCCTAGCTGACCCCTGCTCTGCTGTCTCTTTGGTATTTTGTTATTCCAGTGGGGACCAAATCCCAAGTGCCATCTCAGGGCCTCCTTACCTTATGATCCCTGATTTCCTGCTGGTTTCCCCACCAGGTGGAGAGGGAAAAGCTTCGTAGCCATGAGGACACGGTACGGCTGAGTGCGGAGAAGGGCCGTCTGGACCGCACGCTCTCAGGGGCTGAGCTGGAGCTGGCTGAGGCTCAGAGGCAGATCCAGCAGCTGGAGGTCTGGTCCCTGTCACCAGCCTTGTCCTCCAACAACCCCCCCGCCCCTCATCAAAGTGCTAGCAAGCTCTGTGCAGAGTTGGTGACTCATGTAGACCAGGACCCTCAACCTGCACCACACAGGCTTTTGAGTGGGGTCCTAGACCTAGACCCTGGAGGGAAGGGTCCTCTCCAAAGCAGACAGAAAACAGATGAATGCTATGTTAGCAAGTGAGCCTGTATGTTCATGTATGTCTCTTCACAAACACACATGCACACATATGTAGCATTTATAATAGACATGGCCCATTGTGCATAAATATCTACCCTGCACACATAAGAATACACACATGTATTTTTGTTATGTGCAGTCACATCACAGCCAACTCATAATTGACCCCCAAGCAAGTTTTCAGAGGCAGTAAATTACATGGGAATAGATAACCCATCTTTCTCCTATGGAGCAGCTGGTGGATTCAAACCGTGTGCCTGTGAGTTGACAGTGCAATGCCTTACCCATTAGGCCATGAGAGCTTTCTTGTTTATGTTGATGTATCTTTTAAATTTCTTGACATTGAGATATAATCCATATTGAAGGCTACGTTCCTTGATCTTCTGCAGCAAGGGCTCAAGTCCTCCTCACTTTCAGCAGGCAAGGTTGTCTGCATAACACAGGTTATTGATGAACCCCTGATCCTGGTGCCACATTCCTCTTTGTAGTCCAACTTCTCCAATAATTTGTTCAGTGTGCAGATTGACTAGGTATAGAGAGAGAATACAGCTCTGACACACTCCCTTAATTTTAAACCATGCAGTGTTCAACTGCTCTGTTTGCACAGCAGCCTCCTGGCCCAGGTATATGTTTCGCATGAACACAGTTAAGTGTCTGGGACTTCCATTTTTCTCAGTGTCAGCCACGACTTGTTATGATCCACACAGTCAAATGCCTTTGCATAGTCAATAAAGCACAAATAGAAAACAAAGATTCTTACCACTGGATCAATAGGCAATATCATGATGGATGGAGAAGAGATTGAAACTGTCAACAACTTCATCTTGCTTGGCTCCACAATTAACACCTTTGGTACCAGCAGTCAGGAAATAAGGAGGCACAATGCTCTGGGAAAGTCTACAGTTAGAGACCTCTCCAAGTTATTGAGTAATGAAGTTTGAGGACTAAGGTACATCTTGCTATATGTCTGAGAGCTGGATAACGAATAAAGATAACAGAAGAGTGATGCCTTTGAGCTGTGTTGTTGGAGAAAGAGCACTGAACATCCCGTGGACGGCCAAGAGAATAGATATGTCTCGGAGAGAGTGCAGCCGGAGTGCTCTTCGGAGGCAAGAATGATGAGGTTTCACTTGACATACTTTGGGGATGTTGCTAGGAGGGGCTATTTCTTCGAGAGGGACATGATGCTTAGAAGGGTAGAGGGTCGGTGAAGGAGAGGAAGACCCTCAACCAGGTGGATTGACACAGTGATGGCAGCAATGGGCTTTGGTGTGTCAGAAGTGTGAGAATGGTGCAGGACAGGACAGGGTTCAGATCTATTGTTCATAGGGTCAGTATGAGTCATACTCAACTCGATGGCTCCTAACAGCACAACTAACAGCATCTATTACATGTGTAAATGTATTTACCATTATTACATTTTCACATGTATGCGTGTATCTGTGTGAACAAAAGTAGGTATTTGCGTGTTTGTCTTTGTGCCTGTATGTATATGGATTTGACTGTATCTGTGTGTGCATGTGAGTGAGCGTGAGCACGTGCATGTCTGAGGAGGGATCGGTGGTCACCCTAATGTAGGATTTGCAGGCTAATAGGAGGGAAACAAGCAAGGATCCCACTTGAGGCCCCTGACTAGTGTCCTCCCACAGGCCCAGGTGGTGGTGATGGAGCAGAACCACAGCCCCTCCCAGCTGGAGGCTGAAGAGCAGCAGCGGCTGGAGCTCCAGCAGGAGGTGGAGAGGCTGCGCAGCGCCCAGGTGCAGACGGAGCGCACCCTGGAGGCACGGGAGTGGGCCCACCGCCAGAGGGTGCGTGGGCTGGAGGAGCAGGTACCACGTGACCCCTCCCCATCAGGCGCAGGACTCACCCACGGGGGTGTGGGGGGGTGTGTGTGTAAGCAGAGCTGGAGAGAGGTTGGTCCTCTTGTTTGAGACTCCTGTAACTCAGAAGGTCCAGGGTCGATGTGTGCTGGTGGCCAGCATGGGTGGTCCCAGGGACTCCAGTGACATCATGGTAGTTAAGCTCCTGTCTCCATGACTCTGCTGCTCTCTCCATCCATGCCCAGGCAGCCCCCCTGCTCAGGTGGCATCATGGCCCCCAGGAGCTCCAACTTCAGGTTTTCCATTGACCCAAAGAAGAGGGGTGGCTCTTTGCTGATACCAGCCAAAGCCTCAGGGATGGTCCTCACTGGCCTGCTTAGATCTGCCCCTTCTAACCATCTCTGAGCCAGTGGTGTCTGCAAGGATGTCAGCGCAGGTCACACGTCTACTGCTGGACTCTGAGCTGTTGTTATTATTGTTGTTGTTATGTGCTGTCAAATTGCTTGTGACTCATAGTGACCCTATATACAACAGCTCTGAAGCCTGCCCTGTCCTGACCCAGTCTCACTGACTCCAACACACCTACCCCCATTGCCCCAGTTACTTTATCAATCCATCTCATCCAGGTTCTTCCTCTCCTGCTCTGTCCTTCTACCCTTCCAAGCATGATGTCCTCCAAGGACGAGTCCCTTCTGGCCACATGCTCAAAGTATGTGAGACAAGAGCTTCAAAATCCCAGCCTCCAAGGAGAAACGGTTTCACCCTCTCAAAGGCAGACCTATTTGGTTTTTTTGGTGGTTCATGGTATGTTCAAGACTCTCCTTCAGTGCTGAGCTAGGCCCACCCAAATGATGAGGGAGACCAGGAATGGGGTCCCCACCTTGCAAAGCGAGGCTGAGCAGTCAGAAGACACCAGCCTGCTGCTACATGGCACACAATGAGACGAGGTCTTCTTTGAAATAATAGAAGCTTTGGGTCCCATCTGAAGTCCCAGCTGCAGCTGAGAGTCTCCCCAAGCCACCCACCTCCCCCTGACATCAGTCTGGAGACTGGACTGGTCCCACCTTGTCTTTCCCAGGTGTCCACACTGAAGGGACAGTTGCAGCAGGAGCTTCGAAGGAGCTCAGCACCCATCTCATCACCTTCTGGCCCCTCGGGGAAGTGAACCCCTTCACAGGATCCTGGAGAACAGCTCTGTCTGTGGCCAGAGCAGAAGAGGAGCCTCTTTTCCAGCACAAGCCTACCAGGGCCAGGCCATGCGGGCCTCCAGAGCTTGGCCGGGGTGAGGAGGGCCTGGCTGGCACTTCTGAGTTTTGAGAGCTACAGGGCAGACCCGCAGTGGCTTCCTGATGGTGGCTGCAGCATTCCTGGGGATCCTCCCTATGGGCCCCACCTTGGTTCAGCTCCAGACTCCCTGTCCACTGCCCCAGAGCCACTCTAGATTGTATGAGGCCCTCCCTTAGGTGGCTGGGTGGACGCCAGAGGCAGGGGAGATCTTGTCACTGGCCAGCCCCGGAGCATGGGCTTCTGGGAAAGAGGAGGGGCATGTGGCCCAGCCTCCCGCTTTCTAGAGATCCCTTTAATTCAGTGTTTTGTCAGGATACTCCTCAGAGAGCAGAGTCCCTGTATTTTTATACCTTTTTACAATGTTCATTGTTCAGAATGGTTGAGTATTTTGTAACCAAAAGACCCCCTTTTCTACAAACATTTTGTACAGACCTGTATCTTTACTGCATTATTAACAGGCCTCCAGATACAGTGACTAACATGGGCCTTTGGAGATGTGGAGGGGGCGCAGCATAGGGGCACCGTTCTGATCTGTTCACAGGGTCACTGAGTCATAGGGCCACATGGACCCTAAGAGCGGGTGGAGGAGGAGGGGAGATGAGGAGTGGGACGCCCTGAGGAAGGGGACACGTAGGGGAGCAGAGGCCTTTGTTCAGGGGCAAGGAACATCCCCAGTCCCACAGCACATCAGCTGGCAAGGCCTGGTGGTACAGTGGTGAAGTGCTTGGCTGCTAACCAAAAGGTTGGTAGCCTGAACCCACCAGGCACTGTAGGAGAGCCTTGTGGTTGTACCCAACAACCTTGGAGATGCTGTCGGAAGCTCTGCCGTATCCTGTGGGGTCACTGTGAGATGACAGCTCAGAACACCAGTGACTGCACCTTACAGGTGGTTCTGAGGGGAAGTTGGGCTCGTCCTTTGGAGGCCCACGGTCAGGTTCTTCCCCGGATCTGCCACATAGAGCTTTGGAACACCTGGGCAGGTGACCTGCATACTCCTGGACTCACTTTTCACATTTGCATTTTGGACATGTTATCAGGAGGTTACAGGGAACTCTGGTAGCCTAGGGGTAAGAAGCTGCACTGCAATCCTGAAGGCACACGTTTCAAGGCCATTAGCTGCTCCTCAGGAGAAGGATGGGTAATCTCCTCCCATGCGATTAACTGCCTGTGAAAACCCGCCGGAGGGTCAGCTGTGGGTCAGTTCAGACTCTACATTACACTACAACAACAGCAACAATCAGGAGGGACCAGTCCCTGAGCAGGACCTCACACTTGGTAAATTAGAGGGTCTGTTAAAGAGGAAGACCTTGAACAAGATGGCTTTTGCCACGATGGCTTCAACAGTGGGTTTAAGCACAGCCGTGGCTGAGAGGTGGGCACAGGACTGGCAGGGTACACGGTACATGAGTTCATTGTGAGTCGGGGTTTACTGTGTGTCCACAAGTTTATCCTGACTCCCATGTGAGTCGGGTTCTCTTGGCTGTAATCTTCACGGAAGCATACTGCCAGCTCTCTCTCTTCCAGGGAGCCACTGGTTAGTTTGAACTGCTGACCTTTTAGTCAGTAGCCTATGGCTTGACCACTGTGCCAGATGCAGCTATTTGGAACGCTCAGTATGGCTTTGGGCTGGTACTCAGACATGGTCAGAGGGAACTGCAAGAATGACTTACCCTGCCTGCCCTCTGGACTGCACCAGCCTCTCCATCTATTGCCTGGAAGCCCCTGGTCCAAGTCCACCTACAGACACCCTGTCTCCTACCAACCTGTACATATCCATAGGCAACCCTCATCTGGGCTTGCAAGATGGGGAGCTCCTGTCTTCACCCAGAAGTCCTGACAGTGAGGAAGCGGTCATCTGGAGCCTTCTAACCCCCAGGTGAACTATAATCACACCACACAGTTACACACACATACATACATACATACATATCCTGGGGACAGCTGTTGAGTTTTCTGGCCAGTTTGTACCTGCATTGGTGGGTGAGGCCTGCAGAGTCAAGACTACTTTCCACCTGAACTGCACTTTCTCCCTAGGGGTGGCCCCTCAGTGCGGACAGGAAGTGTTAGAAGCCCCTGGTCACCCTGACTGTGCTCTTAACTAAAAGCACGACTCTGAATCTTATGTAAAAACTTGTTTTTAATTTCATGTAAAACAAAGGTGGTCCGGTCCACGCCTTCAGGATGTTCACACAGACCAGCTGAGGGAAGGGGCATAGCCTACCTCAGGGGACTCGAGGGACTGTCTTCAGAAAGACCAAGAAGACACATCGGGGCCCAGGTCCCACAAAGAGGCCTGGGGTGTCCCCTACCCAGGAGGCTGAGGCTGGGCAGTGGGCAGCCCCTATTCTGTTCATGCCTGGATTTGGCTGAGGGAGAGGCCTGAGGCATGACCTCCCACAAGCCCCTGGCCACAGTCCACTAACAGTTTTCAGGGGCACGTTGGGAGGGGAGGAGAGCACCAGGTCAGGCCTGAGGGCCTGTGGATCCGAGAGGGTCCAGGATGAGGGCGCCAGCTCCGCCCTAGCAGCCCCCACAACTCCGAGCGCAGGAGACTGCCACAGACTGGCACAGGCCACTGCTGGCCATCACACCACACTTGGAGAACTTGTCACGACATAGGTCAGCTGTATGGGGGTAGGAGGTGGGGATTGGGGTAGGGCTGAGTGATGAGAACTGCTGCCCCTTGCACCCTGGGGATGAGGGGTTGTTATGGGAGTGAGAGGTAGGTGGCACCCCAGGAAGTGGATGGGCATGGTGGCAAGGGAAGCCTGAGGTTTGTGGCCTTCATACCTCGGAGGAGCTCCTCGTGGGCACAGACTGTGCGGACACAGATCTCCCTGTTGATGACGTACACACGGCGGAGGCTGGGGACAGGCAGGGAGGTCTCAGCCCCAGTCCACTGAGGGCCCAGGAGACCCTGGCACTGGAGTCTGGGTCCCCCAGGCCTGGGCTCAACCAGAGTCGGCTCAGGGTTCACGATCTTTCCCAGGTGCCACTGGTCCTCCCCTCCCTATTACCTCCCCTCCCTTGCTGGGCCGTGCTCACCTGTAGAAGCAGACCTCATTAAGACACTGTTTACAGGGCTTGTGGATGGAGTAGAGCCGGGTGCATGGGTACTGTTCCTCGCGGCAATCTGAGTGACACGTGGGGATCAGGCTAGGATGCCTCTGTGTGCCCTGAGCCTAGTCAGAGTCTGGGTACCACTGCCCTTCGGGCCGAGTCCAGACACAGCACCACCTCTTCCAGCCCACGTCAGCCCTGGAGACCCTCCAGGGCTGCCCCATGTATGCAGTACATTTACATGGCTACAGACTCACATCAACATGACAGAATATTTGTACATGCACAAAGGCCCACACAAAGCATGGGGATGAGCTCGCAGACACACACACACGCACACACGCTCTTGGCTGAGGACGTGTATGTGCACCAGCTCAGCTGGCGTGGGCTTCCTGCCCCCCTTCGCTTCGCCACGTGCACCACTCGGGCTGGCAAGAAGCCCCCAGCACACTCCCTGCCCCTCCCTCATCTTTGGGTGAAGGGCCCCTCCCCAGGCTGCAGTCAATCCAGCCTCCAGCCAGACACAGGAGGGCAAAAGGGGGGGGGGTGTCTCTCCCAGAGCTGTCCTAGGAAGCTGGAGCTGCCAGCCTAATGGGGGGGGCAGGGTTCTCTATAGGGGCCCCTTTTTGCATTGCCACCAGCAACCCACACCATCTTCCCAGCAACAGCACACACAACTGCATCTGTCTCCACATCGCCCCCCACACACACCACCCCAACCTCTGTACCCGGCACCCTGTCTCCTACCAAGAGGTCCAGGCTCTGTGGGCTCCGTCTCTGTGTTTCCTGGTTCTGGTGTTGGGAGAGGGGGACACAGGAATCATTGGAAGGGGTTCTTTCTATTCAGGCAAGATGGGGCTTTTGGGCCTAGGGGAAGGTCATGTTGGGGTTACCTCTTCCAACAAAGGCACAGACCCCGCTTCCAGGAGTTCTGGGTTGAAAGGTGGTGGGAGAAGGGGTACAAACAGGGGTGCCTTACCTAGGTAGGTGGGGGCTGGAATGACTTCCTGTTGGACTTGCTGCTGGGACTGGAACTGGAACTGCTCCTCGGGGGGCCGAGGGGTCGCCTCTGCAACAAGTTGAGTTGAGCCCTGTCCCCACTTTCCCCTCCAGAGGTCCCCATGGATGTTCCCACCCCCGCTGTCTTCAGCTCTTTACCTTGATAGTCATAGTAGTCTGGGCTATCTGGAAACAAAGATGAAGGTGGAATTAGAGAGCATCAAGCTCCTTCCCTCCAGGAACAAAGATGGTCACAACTGAGTCAGCTAACCGCCTCCCTCCCCACCTCCCGAGAATTCCCACCCACTCCCTGCACATTTGGGGAGCCAGGCCTTGATGATGTGGCCTCTGGGGGAGACCTGGGAGTCAGCATGGTCCTTACCTATTTGGTCGCTGTAGTGAGTGTACTGGACGTGGTCAGGGAATGGAGGCAGGGGGTCCAGGTCATATTGGCCCTGAGCCAGCAGGCCTGCTGTGGGAGGCCAAGCATGTTTAGGGGACAGGAAATAAGGGCCCTGAAGGGCTCTCAGGGAGGGCAAGCAGGGCCAGGAGCTCAAGGGCAGGCCTGTGAGAGCTGACATTCTAATAATCACATGCTCAGGCCCACAACATCCAGAGTCCACCCTTGGACTGTACAGGCCTTACATGCACTGGTCTCATGTCACCTCCCTGACCTCATCCTGACACTCACCCAACTCTGGCCCCCTGGCAGCTCCTGGAATTTGCCAAGTTTCTGCCTGCCTCAGGTCCTTTGCACCTGACTCTCCCTGGGCTTAACACACTTGACAGGCTTCTCCTTTCAGGTCTCAATGAAATTTTAGCTCTGCTGAGAGCTCACCCCTGGTTGGTTTCCATCACGGCACCCAGCATGATCTGAAATGTATCATGTCTACTTGTTTAACATCACTTCTGTAGACAGGCAGCTCTTTGAGGGCAAGGTCTGGTTCCTAGTGCAGTGCTTGGCCCAGGAAGGCATACCATGAATGTCTATCTGGTGAATGGATGAGTCAGTAAATGAGTGTTATAACTGGTACAACCTGTGCTGGCCATCGAGAACTCCTTACTTGGCCAACTGGGACCCACTGCAAGACCAAGATAGGAAAGGGTGGTTGGATCCCAGTGGGTCTAGAAGCCAGGTCTACTAACTCTTTTACTTGGGTACCCCCCTACTCCTGCACACTGGTTTTCTGGAGGGCCAGTAAGTGAATCATGGACCTAAACTGGACAGGAAGCGCGGATAGAAAAAGTACCCAAGTCTACTGTCTGTAGAATCCCTCCTGCCTGCTGCTGGGGAGGGGGCTCGGCCCGACCAGTCTGGGGTCCTGGCCTGGGGTCTGTTCTAGTGAAGGCTACTGCGAGTTGCCCACCAAGAGCCTCATTCCCACCCCATAAAGGGGAACTGATCCCGGCCTGGGGCCACTTACCAGGCAGGACCAGCAGGAAGAGGTAGGCAGCTCTCATGATCACAGAGTGAGGTGGGCTGGCTGGTGTCAGAAGGCTGAGGTGGGAGAAGAGGAGACAGAAGGTGGCACCCCAGGCTTATTAAACCATCAGAAAGGGGCCTGGCAGCCACCTGGAGGAACACCTGCAGACCCTAATGACCCTAGTGCTCAAGTCACAAGGGACAAGACCTCTAACCCACCTCCAGACCTGACCTTGACAAATGAACAGACCCCTCCCTCCTTGCTCACTCTCATAGCAAACCCTCCAGCAGGTTTTCTTGCAGAGGCAGTAAATAGCACGGGAGGGGATTGCCCACCTTTACACACACACACACACACACACACACACACC